TTCCCTACAAATTTCCCTGCAGGGAACAGTGGAGGGGAGACACAGCAATGAATGAACGAAAGCACTTTGTCATCACAGCATGATAGGACAGTTTGGGTTGGCAGAGACCTTAAAGATTATCTAGGTCCAATCCACCATCTGTGGGCAGCAACACCTTCCACTAGACCAGGTTGCTCCAAGCCTCATCCAGCCTGGCCTTGAACACCTCCAGGGATGGGACATCCACAGCTTCTCTGGCCAAAATCCCACTGCGATGGGAACTAGGCAGGGCATGGAGGATTCCTGGGAGAGACTGCTCAGTGGTCCCCAGACATGGCCCCTGGCACTCAGTCCCATGCTGGTGTGTGCCCCAGCTCCCTCCCTGCCCCTGCTCCAAGCAGCCACGGGAACAACTCCCTGCAGGGCCCCTCACGGGCTTGCCAAGGGGACCTCTCTTGCAGGGATCCTCTTGCAGCCGGGCCTGGCACAGGAAGCAAGGGCTCCAAGCAGGAAAAGAGCAGCCTCTTCAAATCTTCCCCAATGCCTTCCCCATGCATCAAAGGTCAGCCAGAAAACAGAAAGAGTGGAGAGGATTCACAGCCTGGACTTGGGCACCTTTTTTTCTACTGGGAGAGAAACTCAGCAAAAGCCGAGCGGGGGTACTTGCTCCTGCCTGTGGGGGCTGTAGAACTCCCTGAGACTGACTTGCTCCAGACTCTCTTCAGAAGGTGCAGACATAGGGATTTTTGCTCCTTACCTGTAGTTGTTGCAGTTGTCGGTGCAGGTGTGGTAGCATCTATTGTGTCATTGTCTCCTGATGAAGGGAAAAGAAGAGAGATGGTAGCACTGGTTAGTGGTGAGTGGAGGAAATGTCTTTGGGAACCCTGCGTGTGGAGGGCAACCTCTGAGCTGGGAAGTGGGTGACCCACATGCAACCAAAGCCCTGGGCAGCTTTGCCAGATCTTTGGGCATTTCCTGGCCATGAAGCCTGTGTCGTCTGACATGTCCATGTTCCCTTCTCCCCCAGATCCCAGGGGCTTAAGCATAAGCCCCACACGGGCACTGTACTGCCCCCAGCTCAGCTGCACTCACTGGAC